ACGCTTTTACTATGAAGCCAGGGCTGAAGAAGGAGACAAAGACACGGAGGATAGTTTCCATCTGGAGCACTTTGGTTACTTACATACAATACAAAACTGTATTCCTGGAACAACAGATCCCCCTCCCTCGCCATGGTGAATAAACTGTTAAACGGTAATATTTACTTACCTGATCCAAGTGCCAATGTCCCTCGGTGCTGGGTCATGGCTTCTCCTTCTCCGCTATCACACAGCGAGGGAGCGTTGATCGCATTCATGGTGAGTGCTGTGCACATTTGGCCTACCCACAGAAATCAATGCTTTCCTATGGGGAAATAGCAGACGCTGGGGGTCCTCATGCATAGTGTAAGGACGTCCAGTGTCAGTTAGTGGACCAAAAGTCGGGTAACATTCCGCAAGTGCCTCTAGTGTCTGGTAGATATAAATATTGCAGTTTCTAAGTGCAATAGGGACACTGTATCAAGACCACTTCAATGAGCTGGGTTTTCCTTTAAGTGCCAATGTGGCATAACATTTTTTTTTTATTATTATTACTTTGGATTACGTTTGCTGTCACCATTTTGTTTTTATTTTTTTGGCAAAATTAATTTTGGAATGACAAGTACAGATTTGGTAAGATAAAAAGTGTTTGTGCAGGACAACCTATCATGTGAGTCATCGGTGAGTTTTGAGCCATTGGTTAATCAGTCTTATACATGGTATTGCCGTTACCACCACAATGCGTATTCTTCATAGGCATAGGAAATACATTACGATTGTAGGTGGTTCAGTCCCTGTTCATAATTGGGTCAACCATCATGTCTCAGTGCGCTGTGATTTTTTAAATTAAAAAAAAAAAATTATTTAGCAATAGCGCGAGATCATAGATAGTGCCACAATGTATGTGACAGTTTGGTAGCGTTTACCAGATTAGGTAAATTGAGGAGGTAACGAGAGATTAAAGATAAGAGAAGAGTGGTTGACTGAGGGAGGGGGAGTGTTGACTGAGGGGAAAAAAAGGGGGTGAAGGAGCGATTCTAAGGAGAATGGGGAGGGGGGGATGAGGAGCTGGGGAGTGGAGTAGGAAGAATGATCAGTGCTGTGGATGGCACGGTATGCTATCTCATTATTTTTAATTTTTAAAACAAACATTATGTTTCAGCAGATTAATAAATTATGGACGGTATTCTTTAACAACATATCTATATCATGAAACGGTGTAAGCATGCATATCCACCCTTATCATTGGGATAAACCACCCCGCTTTAGGACTCTGAGCTCCACTGTAAGCACATGTGTAAGTGCTTTCCAATATATGTGTGTTCTTCTTTTACCCTTATATAATTTTTTTGATGCAGTTTTGTTTTGACTTCAGGAGTTCTTTTTCTGAAGTTTATTTGTGTAAAGAATTATATATATATATATATATATATATATATATATATATATATATATATATATATATAAGTTAAATATGGCCTGCGTATCTTTTAAGCAAGCAGTAGTGGTTATCATACTTGGAGTGTTCCTTTAAGTTGGTCAACAGATATAAAAAAATATTTGGTGTAAGTCATTGCTATTGTACTGGGTGCTTTCTATTAGTAAACTGAAAGATTTACATTCTGGCCCCAAACTGTGACCATGAGTATTGGACACATATCAGATTAGATTGTACATTGTCTTTATTATTATAATTAGCATCAGATTACATTTTTGGCCATATAGAAACAGAAATACTTATTCTGATTAACCATTACCGATAAGTTGGAAATGAAACTGTTAACGAAGAAATACAATATATTCTAAGACAAGAAAAAAAAATACCTCTCAGTTTTAATGGTGAGAGATTTAAAAGATGATTTTGTGCTCAGCATGACTTGTGTTTATATAGATTGGACACATTGTTCTTTCAGCCTCTGCCTATATAGGTTTCAGTAAGGAATAGTACACTTACAAATATGGATTTAATTCCTGGAAATGATTATGAATTACACTTCCTCTAAACAGGGGTTCCTCTAAGAAAGCACACACTGATATTATTACAAATATAATTTATATCACACTGTTTAACCTGCATCAACCTGATACAGCCGACCAGCGTTGAGAGAGATATGCTTAACTGGAACTAATACGAATTCCGCTAACAGTTTTTTTTCTTTTCTTTTTTTTTTTGTCATTTCATTGCACTGTTTCAATGTCACTGTCCTTAACTTTTCCACAACGGCACATTTTTAGCTGTAATGATAAGGGGACTGCTTATTTATTTTATTTGTGTGTGTGCACATTTGGCAAACCTATGCATGTTGATGTGTGTGTGTATGCTAGTTAGTGATTTTATATTCACTTGACATACATAGGAAAACCGATCAATATGATTCCGTTGGTCTGTGTAACATTTGTCACTTTACAAATTTTGGAAGTCTAATTCCTAAACTGTGAGTTGACTGATATTAGTCTATACTAATATATAGAATATAAAACCGTTTAGGACCAGGGCTGTTTTTACATTTCTGCTGTGTTTGTGTTTCGCTGTAATTTTCCTCATTTACTGTACCCACACATATTATATACTGTTTTTTCGCCAATAAATGGTCTTTCTAAATATACCATTATTTTTATCATATCATATAATTTACTATAAAAAAAATTATGATTTAAAAAAAAAAAAAAACCATACTTTTTCTAACTTTGACCACCAAAATCTGTTACGCATCTACAAACGCCAAACAACACCCGCTTAATAGTTTCTAAATTTTGTCCTGAGTTTAGAAATACCCAATGTTAACATGTTCTTATCTTTTTTTGGAAAGTTATAGTACAATAAGTACAAGTAGCACTTTGCTATTTCGAAACCATTTTTCTTTTTCATTGTAACACTGATATCTTTCAGGAATCCCTGAATAACCCTTCATATGTATATATTTTTTAAAAGAAGACAACCTAAGGTATTAAACTTGGGGTATTTTGACTCTTTTCATGCTCTTTTCATGCAACCATTTTACCACCAATCTATGCCAAAGTAAAAAAAAATATATATACATTTTTGAGGTTTTTGTTTACACATACAGCAATTTAAGAATACATGTACTGAGAACTTTAAGGGTTACTTCCAAAGAACACCCCAATATATGTTCAGCAACATCTCCTGAGTACAGTGATACCACCCATGTACCGGTGTGTCTGGTTAAAAGACCTTATTTGGAGGGTGCATATTCCAGTTTTCCAACTTGATATTTTCACAGCTGGTCATCATGCACCCATGTCCTATTTGGGAAATTTTTGAAGCCGGCCAATGTAATTTACCCCCATTAAACCATATAGTTTTGAAAAGAAGACACCCTAGGGTATTTTAAAAGGTGGTATTTTAACACTTTCCATGCACTAGACTTGACGTAGACTGGTAGACATCGGTCTACGTCAAACTTCTGGGTAGTCATTTGTTTGTGTTATTTTTCACACACATTCTACTTTAGGCATGGATTCTCAACTTCTGTTAGGTTACTGCCAAAGAACACCCCAGTATGTATTCTGCAACATCCCCTGAGTACAGTGATACCACCTATGCATGGGTTTGTTTGATTGTTTGGGGGGTGCAATGCCAAACTTCTGACATGTGTTTTTCAAATTTGGCATATCTTCTTTGCCTATCTTCTTTTTGGGGGTCTTTTTAGATATCCCAGTTTATTTTCTTGCCATGAGCGTGCATATATTTGAAAAGTTGACAGCCCACGGTATTGGGGTAATGTTTTGATGCCTTTGATGCAGTTGTTTTAGCCAAAAAATTGGAGAAAGTGTGTGGTGGTAATTTTAAAATTTTCATTTTTACACACACATTGCTTTTTGACTGTGATTTAGGAGAGCCTGTTGTTGGTTATTGCAAGAAAACACTCCAGGTTGTTTTCTTCAAGGCCTCCTGAGTACATCTATGCCCACCAATGCATAGGTTTGCCAGGATTTTGGGAAAGTCCAGTTACAATTGAATGACTTGTAATTTGTATTAAAATGTATTTATTTTTAATTCTTTATTTTTGTTTGTGCATGAATTGAACAATCTGGCTTGCTACGCCTCAATAGCTGCAGGAAGCCTTTCAATAGCAGAACATAACATGGCATAAGAAAATACTGTGCACATTTTTTTTCTAAAAGGTCAGATGGAACTAGGTTTTGTCATAACATATTATAGTATTAAAGCTTTTTCTATTCATCTGTGACATTAGTACATGTTGCATTTCTTACTTAAATTACACACTAAACACATTGCACGCTAAACAAATTAACTTTTCTATATGAATGCTAGGGTAGGTAGACTTATGAGAGTATTAGTTACGCTTAAAGGACCACTATAGTGCCAGGAAAACATACTCGGCTCTGGAAGGGGGAAAGGGGTAAAAACTTACCTTTTTCCAGCGCTGGGCGGGGAGCTCTCCTCATTCTCTCCTCCTCCGTTCCTCCTCCTGGGCTGAATGCGCGCGCGCGGCAAGAGCTGCGCGCGCATTCAGCCCGTCGCATAGGAAAGCATTTACAATGCTTTCCTATGGACGCTTGCGTGCTCTCACTGTGAAAATCACAGTGAGAAGCACGCAAGCACCTCTAGTGGCTGTCAATGAGACAGCCACTAGAGGAAACAGGGGGAAGGCTTAACCCATTCATAAACATAGCAGTTTCTCTGAAACTGCTATGTTTATTAAAAAATGGGTTAACCCTAGCTGGACCAGGCACCCAGACCACTTCATTAAGCTGAAGTGGTCTGGGTGCCTAGAGTGGTCCTTTAAAGTTATGATAAGGTATGTGGTGTTGCAGTTTCGAGAGGGGTATACGGTGTGCTTATTTAACAGGTTAAAACATGTCTCGCGTATGGTGTGACTATACGATCCAGAACATGCTAGGTGAGTATACCCCTTAGCTTGTAATCTCCAAAAGATATATCGCTATAACCGTTTGGATGTGCGAAAGTCTCCTGGGGTTTCCCAGGTGTGAGTCCCTCTCTCTAAGTTGGCATAGCGGGGATCGTGTTCCCAGGATCAGGATGTGGCGTTATGAGACGTGCCAGGTCCCCCTGCTCCTGGACCGTGGTGTTGATGGGTCACTGGCCGTTCACCCGATGCCGCGTTGGGGCTGTGCAGAGCCTCATTGTGGATTCTCGTGGGACTCCACTGTGATGTGGTGAGTGCACGGGTGTAGCTGGGTAAACGGGTGTAGCTGGGGTCGGTTAGTAATGCCGCTGGGCCTAGGTAGGGTGCCCTCTGGGTGATGAGTGGACTGGGTGAGCCAGTGCTTGGTTTCTGTTGCTTCACTGCCCTACGTGGGCGAGGTGCAGGCTTGTTCCTTCGCTGCCTCTGTACTGTGTGAGGCCCTGTCTGGGCTGCAGGCCGGTGCTGAGGGTTAGGTGGCTGCTGTCTGGGTGGACAGTTTGAGATGAGTGGACCTGGAGCTCCTTGTTGTAGTCTAAGCTCTAGCTTGAGCCAGAAATCTGGGAAGATTTTATCTATGTTGGACGAGGGGTGTCTTAATGTCTCGTGGCTGACTGGTGGCCGCATGGTCTCCGCCATCTTAGGTGGGCCGCTCGGCTCTCCAGCCATCTCCCCAGTTATTTTCGCCGTGTTGGGGGGGACCCCCAGGGGTGGACCGGGATGACCCCCGCCGGTCCAGAGTGGGGGGGGGGTTGCGGGGTATCTGCTTGTGGCCGTTGATTTCCATGTGGCTCCAGGCTGGGGGATCGGCCACCTCTCCCACGCGGTGACGCATGCCCTTGCGAGTATAGTCTTCTGTCTGCTATACCCTCATGGGCTGCATCACCGGTTCACCATTAGGGTAGAGGGCTGTTATGTCGCTTGGGGTTGTGTGCTGCTGTTTGTTGTGGTTTAGAGGTGCCATTTTTACAAGGATTTCTGTGGAGCTTCAGTTAGGCACGTCTTCCCTCCATGACAGTCAGGCCCCGCCCCCCCTTGTATTAAAATTTAGAGTATTTTTCCTGATAGGCCTATCTTTAAATTGGGGCTTATCACGTATCCCAGTTTTATTTATTGCCATGAACGTGTATATATTTGAAACGCCGAGGTATTGTATATGGAGTGCTTTGATGCAACCATTTTAGCGCAAAAAATTAGAGAAAGTGTGTGGTGGTCATTTTTCAATTTTCATTTTTACACACACATTGCTTTTTGACAGGAGAACCTGTTGTTGGTTATTGCCAGAAAAGGCTCCAGGTTGTTTTCTGCAATGCCTCCTGAGTACACCCGTGCCCCCCATACATAGGGTAAACGTAACAAAAAAAAATCTGAACAACAAATTTAAATAAATAAATTTAAAAATGGACCAGTGTGTGGTATCATTTGAAGCAGTCACAAATGCAGAGTCCATGCTGTCCAGGGGAATCAGGATAGTAATATAGGACAGTTTCTATTCTCTGCCCCGTCTTAAAACAGACCCTGCATCTTTTTGGGGGATTCTGCTTTGCCGCAGTAGGTGAGGGGTTTAAAAATAAAGTGTGTAGCCCCAACTCTGCTCTCTCCCATCACCCCCCGGGGAGTAGGTGCATCACGGTACAAAATCCCCGAAATGATCTTGAGCTGAAAGTGTAAAAAAGTCAGTTGCAATCCAGGGTTTGATTTTTTGCCGAGCAAAAAGACGTTGTGGGTTGCAGTCTGCATTAAGTAGATTGCAACCTTTTTTGTACCAGGCCCTTGTCTTCCATATAATCTGGTAGGGCTGCAGCAGCTGATCTGCCAGATCAACCCCACCCATTTCTGCTTTGCCAAAAAAGACTGGCTTAGAAGCACGAAGCTGATGGGCATATAAATTAGTTTGGGCGACAATGTTCCCCAATACATCACCGCCCAGAAACATCTCCAAAAACTGCTGAGGGCTAAATCCTGCGACATCCACATTGATGCCAGGATTTGCAGTAAAGAGTGGGATATTTGCAGGGCCAGATTAAGAGCCCAGTGAGCCTGGAGCTGACAATTATGATGGGCCTAATTACAGAATATTATCGACCAAAAACACTAAAACAACCATACCTCCCAAGCATCATGTATCTGATGGAGATGGTGTTGGAGGGAAAGGATGCAGCTATACAAAAACACATACTCTATGCTAATCTCTCTCTAATTTATGCTTTCATCTTTCAAGTAAATCCATACCCCCTAATAGTAGTGTCCAGTGATACAGGATGTCGATGGGCATGGTAAAAGGGTGTGCCACTGATGTGAATCACGTGACCAGACCTGCCAAAAGGGGTGAACATGCCCAAAAAGTTGGCATGTTTGTCCAAAGAATTGGAAGGCCAGCCTGGCATGAATGCATGTCAGGCTGCCTGCCAATCATACAGGCTGTCCAACTAAGGGCATACTATGCAGGCTGCACCCTCAGCTTGACATAAATGCATCAAATGATCATCTTACTAGCAGGCACAAGTTCCTGGTATATAGTCTGGGACAGCGTAAAGGTGTATGTAGTGAGTGTAGAAGAAAGGGGACATGCCACAGTGTTAGAGAAACCAAAGTCTGCATTACCTAAACTAATTTTATTGTCAGCCAGTCTACACAAGTTTTGTTGCCATACATCCCTCTTAAGCTTCCAAACTTAAAGGGACACTATAGTCACCAGAACAACTACAGCTTATTGTATTTGTTCTGGTAAGTATAATCATTCCCTTCAGGCTTTTTGCATTATACACTGTCTTTTAAGAGAAAATAACTCCACTAGCCACTCCTTAGATGGCTGCTAGAGGTGCTTCCTGGGGCAGTACTGCCTAGTGTGCAGCACTGCCATTCAGTGTCTCCACCCTCTGCATGCATACACTGAACTTTCCTCCTAGAGAAACATTGATTCAATTTATCTTTATGAGGAGATGCTGACTGGCAAGGGCTTGACTTGTGCTTGCTCTGCCCCTGATCTGCCTTGTTGACAGTGTCAGCAAATCTTATGGGAAAGCATTGTAATTTGCTTAGAACGCCACTTCTGATGATGTCAGTGCAGAGGCAGAGCCAGCATCTGCAGACTTGAATACAAGTAAGATTTTACTATATTTAGGGAGGCAAGAGAGGGTCAGGGGGCTAGATGGTGGTTTTTACATAATAGGGTTAGAAATACATGATTGTGTTCCTGACCCTATAGTGTTCCTTTAAGCAAGAGTATGTGAAGAGTAGTTAGGGTTGCCACCTTTCTTAGAAAAAAATACCAGCCTTAATCATTCGTATGATTAGTTATGCATGACATCACATGATGTAAATCACAAGGAGTGACAAGAGAAAATTCTGTAAAATCACCAACAAACTACTCACAGTTTGATTCTGCTGTATAGATGAACTGCTCCCAGTGTCTCCTTGTCTCCCAGTGTCTCAGTCTCGCAAGTCACCTCGTGTCTGTGTCCCTATGTATCACAGTGTAAGTGTCCCCATGTCACCCAGTCCCATAGTCTCCCTGTGTCCCCATGTCACTAGGATACTAGGGGACACAGTGAGACATGGGGACACTGGGAGACATGGGGGCACTGAGACACTTGGGGGCACTGGGAGACATGGGGGCACTTGTGAATACAGACATGGGGACACATACATTTGGGGACATTGGGAGAAATGGGGACTCTGAGACACTAGGGACACATGGGGAAACAGACACTGGGAGATATGGGGACACTGAAACATTTGGGGACACTAAGACACTAGGGACATTGAGAGACATGGGAACACAGACACTGGGAGACTAGGGGACACTGGGAGACTAGGGGACACTGGGAGACTAGGGGACACTGGGAGACTAGGGGACACTGGGAGTCTAGGGGACACTGGGAGTCTAGGGGACACTGGGAGTCTAGGGGACACAGGGAGACATTGGGACACTGAGACACTAGGGACACTTGTGGACATAGACATGGGGACACAGACATTTGGGGACACTGGGAGACATGGGGACACTGAGGACACTGGCTGGGAGACGTGGGGACACTGGGAAACATGGGGACTCTGAGTCACCAGGGACACTGAGAGACATGGGGACACAGACACTGGGACACTAGGGGAAACTGGGAGCCATGTGGTCACTGAGCCACTAGGGACACTGGTTGGGGGACATGGGGACACTGGGAGACGTCCCTAGTGTCTCCATGTCCCAATGTCTCAGTGTCTCCCAATGTCCCTATGTCTCACAGCGTCCCCATGTCTCACAGTGTCCCCATGATTTCCAGTGTCCACAAGTGTCTGTGTCCCCAGGCCTCACAGTGTCCCCTAGTGTCTGTGTCTCAGTGTCCCCATGTCTCCCTGCTGCCTTTCCCCCCCATCCCTCACTTACCTGAGCTGCTGTCTGGACTCTCTGTGCTGCGTAGCTGCTCCCCCACGGATCAGTGAGTAGTAGAGAGAGGCAGGGATATGCTGTAACTTCCTATCCCTGCCTTTCTCCACACACAGTGACCCCTACTGGCCGGTGCTGGTATTGCAGAGTAATCTCCCTTTATGCTGAGAAAAATACCTGCATTTGTATTGCCGGTATTACTGCAATACCTGCACAGCCAGGCAGCCTCAAATACCAACTGTGCCAGTAAGATACCAGTTAGGTGGCAAACCTAAGAGTACTGTGTAAAAAAAAATATATATATATATATTTTTTTTTTAAATGGGCCTGGGCCTGGAGCTGCAGCTCCATCAGCCCCGATGTTAATCCGGCCCTGGATATTTGGCATCTGGCGATGAGGCACTACCCGCTCCTCAGCAGTACTGCCAGCTGGAGCAGCAGGTCTCCTTCTGGTAGGGGGACTAGCAGCCACAGATACATCATAACTAGTTACATCACTAGCAGCAGACACTGTATCTAGTGATGTATCTGAGCACCTGGCAGGGTCAAAATCAGGGTTAGAGTTAGATATAGACGCGTCAGACTCTAACGCAAGGATGGCATCTGCCTCCTCAGCGCTATACGACCTCTGTTAAGTGATTACAATCACTTTATCTAGTGATCTGTCACAAAATAAAAAATATCAACCCCTAAAAAAATGCACCGACAGCAAAATAAGTGCTGCTGTGCAAGAGCCAGTGATCTACACAGTGATCACTGGCAGGATAGAGGCTAACAGCTCTGAAAAGAGCTTTTGGGTCTCACAAAAAAAAATCAGTAAAAAAATTAACCCCTACAAAAATGCACAGAGAGCAAAAAAGTGATGCTGTGCAAGAGCCAGTGATTATAGTGATCTCTGGCAAGATGGGGGTTAATGGCTCTGAAAAGAGCCTTTGAGTCTCACAATTTTACAAATCCCTACCTAAAACTACCTAAATCTCTACCTAAAACACAGATCTCTCTCCCTCTCTCACTAAAACACAAGAGAAGAGAGGGAGGGAGATCCACACTGATCAGAGTCAATATTTACTAATACTGACCTGATCATCACCAGAGGCACTCAGCACAGGCAGAGCATTGGAAGCCTGCCGATGGCTTCCGATGCTCTGCTTTACTACAGGGCGCCACGTGGAGCAACCCGGAAGT